AAATAGATCATATCCTATGGGCACAAAGCAAGGCCTCAGCAAATATAAGAAAATAGATTATTACCATGAATTTCTATCATAATCACAACCGGCATTAAAACTAGAAACTCAACAACCAAAAAATAAAGCAAAAAACATGCCAAAACCAGCTGTGAACTTGCAAACAACTCATTGCTTAATGAAAATTGGGTCACTGAGAAATAAAGAGGAAATTAAAAGGTTTCCTGGACAGTCAATGAAAAATGAAAAACACAAACCTACCAGAACCAATGGGGACACAAGCAAAGCAGTCCTGAGAGGAAAGTTATACAAGCCATGAGTGCATATATTTAAAAAGAACTGAAACCGATCTCAAATCAATGACAAATACTACAGCTCAAACTCCCTAGAAAAATAAGGAACAAGCAAATCCCAAAACAAATAGGAGAAATAATAAAAATAAGAGTTAAAATCAATGAATTAAGAAGCCAAAAAAACTATACAAAGACTTAATGAAACAAAAAGTTGGTTCTTTTGAAAAATAAACAAGATCGATAAGACCCCTGGGCAAACCTGACTAAAATAGGAGAGAAAAAACCCAAATTAGTAAATTCAGGAATGGCAAAGGGGAGATAACAACAAACACCATGGAAGTCCAGGAAATCATCAGAGACTACTTTCCAGAACCTATATTCAAAATAAATTTGAAAAATCTTAAAGAAAATGGACAGATTTTAGATACATATGATATCCAAAACTGAAGAGGACATTAATCACTAATAGACCTATAACACAAAATGAAATTGAAGCAGCAATCAAGAGTCTCCCAAAAAAGTCCAGGACCTGATGGGATCTCTGCTAAATTCTATCAGAACTTTAAAAGAAGAACTAATACCAACCCTCCAAACTGTTCCATGAAATAGAAAAGGGAAGGAAACTGCAAAACACATTTATGAAGCCAGTATTATATTTAACCCAAAACAGGCAAAGACACCTCCAAAAAGGAGACTTATAGGCCAATCTCTTATGAACATTGATGCCAAAAAATCCTCAATAAAATAATGGCAAACTGAATTCAATACACATCAAAAAGATTCACCACAACCAGTAGGCTTCATCCCAGGAATGCAGTGATGTTTCAACATACAAATCAATAATGTAATACACCACATTAACAGAAGCAAAGACAAAAACCACTTGATCATCTCAATAGAGTGCAGGAAAAGCCTTTGATAAGATCCAACCATTTCATGATAAAAGCTCTAAGAAAACTAGGAATAGAAGAAAAGTCCTCAACATTATAAAAGTATATATGACAAACCTACAGCCAGCATTATACTTAACAGTGAAAATGAAAACCATTCCCTCTAAAATCAGGAACCAGACAAGGATGCCCACTATCTCCACTCCTATTCACATAGTACGGAATCCTAGCCAGAGCAATTAGACAAGAGAAGGAATAAAAGGAATACAATAAGGTAAAAAACTAAAATATCTCTATTTGCAGACAACATGATCCTATACCTTAAAGACCCAAAAAAAACTCTACTCAGAAGCTCTAGACATCATCAATAGCTACAGCAAGGTGCAGGATAAAAACAACATAGAAAAATCTTAGCATTTCTATACATTAAAATGAACAAACTGAAAAAGAATGTATGAAAACAATTCCATTTACAATAGCCTCAAAAAATAATCAAATACCTAGGTGTAAACCTAAAAAAGATGTGAAGACCCTCTAACAGAAAACTATACACTTCTGAAGAAAGAGACTGGGAGACTATAGAAAGTGGAGAGATCTCCCATGCTCATGGATTGGTAGAATCAACAAGTAAAAATGTCGATACTCCAAAGTAATTACATGTTAATGCAACTCCTATCAAATTCCAATGACATTCATTAAAGAGATTGAAAATCTTACCATTTAATTATATGGAAACACAAGAGGCCACGAATAGCCAAGCAATACTCAGTCAAAAGAAACATTCAGGAGGTATCAATACTGACTTCAAACTATTACAAAGCAATAACAATAAAACAGCATGGTACTGGCACAAACAGACATGAAGACCAGTGGAACAGAATACAGGATCCACATATGAAGCCACACAACTATAAGCAACTTGTCTTGACAAAGGAGCTAAAAAATATATGATGGAGAAATAGCAGTCTCTTCAACAAAAACTGCTGGGAAAACTGGTTAGCAGTCTACAAAAAACTGAAACTAGATCCATGTATATCACCCTACACCAAGATTAACTCAAAGTGGATCAAGGATCTTAATATCAGACCCCAAACTCTTAAGTTAATACAAGAAAGAGTAGGAAATACTCTGGAGTTAGTAGGTATAGGTAAGAACTTTCTCAATGAAACCCCAGCAGCACAGCAACTAAGAGATAGCATAGATAAATGGGACCTCATAAAACTAAAAAGCTTCTGTTCATCAAAAGAAATGGTCTCTAAACTGAAGAAGCCACCCACAGAGTAAGAGAAAATATTTGCCAGCTACACATCAAAGGACTGATAACCAGAATATATAGGGAACTCAAAAAACTAAACTCTCCCAAAATTAATGAACCAATAAAGAAATGGCCAAGTGAACTAAACAGAACTTTCTCAAAAGAAGAAATTCAAATGTACAAAAAAACACATGAAAAAATGCTCACCATCTCTAGCCAGTAAGGAAATGCAAATCAAAACCACACTAAGATTCTGACTCACCCCTGTTAGAATAGCCATCATTAGAAACACCACTAACAACAGGTGTTGGCGAGGATGCAGAAGGGGGGCGGTGGGAAGGAACCCTTATGCACTGCTGGTGGGAATGCAAACTAGTACAACCACTCTGGAAAAAAATCTGGAAGCTTATTAAAAATCTAAATACAGATCTACCATATGATCCAGCAATACCACTCTTGAGGATATACTCAAAAAATGTGACACAGGTTACTCCAGAGGCACTCGCACACCCACGTATATTGCAGCACTATTCACAATAGCCAAGTTATGGAAACAGCCAAGATGCCCCACTACTAACGAACGGATTAAGAAAATGTGGTATTTATACTCAATGGAATTTTATGCAGCCATGAAGAAGAATGAAATGTTATCATTCACAGGTAAACTGATGGAAATGGAGAACATTATTCTGAGTGAGGTTAGCCCGACCATAAGATCAAATATCGTATGTTCTCCCTCATATGCGGTCATCAGATCAAGGGTAAGCACAACAAAGGGACTGGACTTTGATCACATGATAAAGCGAGAGCACACAAGGGAGGTATGAGGATAAGTAAAACACTCACAAAACAAGATAGCATTTGTTGCCCTCAATGCAGAGAAACTAAAGCAGATACCTTAAAGCAACTGAGGCCAATAGGAAAAGGGGACCAGGTACTAGAGAAAAGGTTAGATCATAAAGAATTAACCTAGAAGGTAACACCCACGCACAGGAAATCAATGTGAGTCAATGCCCTGTATAGCTATCCTTATCTCAACCAGCAAAAACCCTTGTTCCTTCCTATTATGGCTTATACTCTCTCTACAACAAAATTAGAAATAAGGGCAAAATAGTTTCTGACTGGTAGTGAGAGGGTGGGGGAAAGAGAGAGGGGACGGGGGAAAGGGAATTGCAAAATAGAGTGACCTTTATTTTAGTTATATCTGTCTCTATTTTTAAACTATTCTTAAAATAAGCCACATTACTTTTATAATCATTTAAAAATGATTTTTCACTTAAAAAAATAATATATGCCTTCCTTTTCAATTTTTGAAATTTAAAATCCACAAAAGCTGACGAACAAGTGTCGATAAGTTATTTCTCTTCACCTTAAATGCACTTAGCATTTAAATAAATATCCTAAATGTTACTTCTCTAGTATATAAACTTTCACTATAAATATCACCATACAAAGAAAATGTTACTAGCTGGGCGGGGTGGAACACCCCCATAGTCTTAGCAGCTTGGGAGGCTCTGAGGCAAAAGGATTTCACTGTGTCAAAAATAAATAATAAAAAGAAAAGTGTCACTAAAAATATACACAATGTAATTTTAGATTGTATTGAGGGGGGGAGCGGGAGGGGGCGGAGTGGGTGGTAAGGGAGGGGGTGGGGGCAGGGGGGAGAAATGAACCAAGCCTTGTATGCACATATGAATAATAAAAGAAAAATGAAAAAAAAAAAAAATAATAATAAAAAGAAAAGTGTCACTAAAAATATACACAATGTAATTTTAGATTGTTATTGGTTAAATCTTAAGTACTTTTTTATGGTATCTTCTATTTTTTATAGATAATATCTTACTAACATTCTTAATACAGCATTTAGGACTTTAATGAGAATTTAAAGTAGCTTTATAAACTTACCTCCGCTAAATCTTCAAAGCAGCTGCCAGCTAAGGGATGAGGACTACTTTCATCAGTCATTTCAACTGTGTCTTCAATCAGACCTAAAAGTTTCACAGTCAATTCATGTATATCTGAAATGTTACTGAAAATCTTTTCAATATCCTGAAAAAAGAAAACAGAAAGAATAAGGTATGTAAGGTTGAGAACTGTGCTTTAAAATTACTAATAAGAAAAAGAAAAAAAATTACTAATAAGAAAAACACTGTAAGTGTAAAGGTATATTTTCACCCAATCTCATAGAAATATATTCAAGGACATAGTGAAATCTCTCAGATTACAGATACTAAAAATACTGGAAATATAAATTCTAGATAGCTTTGTTCAACAGTCCTCAAGTTTCATGTTGTGAATGATCATAAGCAATTCTTTTCATAAAGAATTTATTTTTAAAAAGTCTAAGATGCTAAAAGAATTGATTAAGGTCTTAAAGAGTTGACAAACACTAGAATCAGAATGAAGATGACTCTTAACCCAGATACAATTTGGCTTTACAATTTATGACTTGTCTTCTGAATTTAAGAAGGAATTAAAGATTTCACTCAAATGCCCACATATAAATTATATCTGGGTTTGAGTCCTCTGGACATAAGTCCACTGACTATCCAGGTTATAGTCAACTATTACTCAGCCTAGTATCTTGTAATGGAAATATGGGTTGTGGAGCATGACAGACCTGAACACTGAATCCTAGCTCTACCACATGTGATCTATGGTATGAAATACACTAGGTCTTTGTCCTGGGTTCTGATGATGGATCTCCTGAAACCTGGGAATTTCAGATAGGGTCTCAAGTTTTTGCCTAGGCCAGACTGGATGGTAATCCTCCCACCTATACCTACCTCTTACATAGCTGGGATTATAGACATGTATCACCACACTTAACCTGTTTGATGAGATGGGGTCTTGCCAACTTTTCACCCAAGCTGACCTTTAACTGTGATCCTGACTACTTGAGATCACTGCTGGGTCTATCCAGGGAGGGAACTATTCTTGCCACTCATTGACCTCTGAGGGTGAAGGGCTGGAAATCAAGCTCTATACTAACTGGGTTTTTCGGGTTTTTTTAATTTAAATGGAGCACTTCATAAATTTACATATGATCCTTATGCAGAGGCCATGCCAATCTTCTCTGTATGGTTCCAATTTTAGGACACGTGCTGCTGAAGCAAGCACTATAAAAACTCTTAAACAAGATTTCATGAGCTTCCAAGTTGCTAAACATATGGAGGTCCTGGAAGAATACCTTCCCAGAAAAGGCAAGGAAGCTCCAGGTCCCTCATACCTTGTCCTATCCACCTCTTCATTTGCTATTTATCTGTACCCTTAGTAATATCTTTTATGATAATGTGGTAAACAAGCTGGGCACTAGTGGCTCACGCCTGTAATCCAAGCTACTCAGGAGGCAGAGATCAGCACGATCATAGTTTGAGGCCAGCTTGGGCAAAAAGCGAAAGCCTATCTTAAAATAACTCAACACAAAAAAAGGACTGGTAGAGTGCTTCAAGTGGTAAAGCACCTGTCTAGCAAGCCCTGAGTTCAAACCCCGGTATTGTCAAAATTAAAAATAAAAAAATTAACTAGTAAGCATAAGTATTCCCTGAGTTTGTGAGCTACTCCAGCAAATAATCAAACACAAAGAGGGTCATAGGAACTTCAACTTATTATAGCCAGTTACTCAGAAGTCACAACCTGAGAATTATCATCGATGGCTAAAGTTAGGGGCAATCATGTTGGGACCGAACCCTATACCTATGGAATCTAACACCATCTCCAGGTAGATAAAGTCAGAATTGAGTAAAATTATAGGATACCAGTTGGGGGTCCACTGGACCCAATTACTTGGTGTATGGAGAAAAACACCTCTATATCTTGATCACAGAAGTCGTCTGCTTGAGCATGAGATCAGAGGAAAAACAAGTCGAGGGCTGGTGGCTAATGCCTGTAATCCTAGCTACCTGGGAGACTGATATTGGGAGGATCACAGATCAGCCAAGCCAGGGCAAAAAAATTTCCTTAGATCCCATTTCAATGGAAAAAAGCTGCATATGGTGATACATGCCTGTCATTCCAGTGAGGGAGGCATAAAATAGGAGGATCTCAGTCCAGGCTGGCCTGGGTTAAAAAGCAAGACCCTATCTCCAGAATAACCAGAGTACAAAGAGCTAGAGGTCTGGCTCAAGCAGTAGAGCACCTGCTTGGCAAACATGAAGAACAGCTCTGTTTTTGTTATGTGGCATTTTCCATAAAATCTTATTTTTTAAAAATTCCACTCTTAAAACTTTAAACTACTGCCTTAAAGTGCTTGCCAAAAGACAAGGAAAAAACATGTGTCTTCATTTTCTAGCCTGTACATCTTCTTACCATTTCTAAATGAATGACCAAGTTTCATTAAGTCTTACTAAATCTTAGAAACTGTTTAGCAGAAAAAGGTCTTATTCTAGCATGTTTTCCCTTCTAACTGTGTCTAATTTTCATTGTCACTGCACTTATTACATTAGTATAACACTTCACATATTTTAAAAATCCATAAATATGTAATGTACTAATAACATAAATACTAATTTATTTCACATACCAATAGCATACTAATTTCTCATACTAATAACATAAATAACATTACTGTTTATGATTTTCAGCTGCTATTTGCTTTGGGGATATAAAGAACTTCAAACTCAAAAGGTACTTACAGAAGGCTTAAACAATTTTCTGTCAGAAAGAAAGGCTTCTCGGAATACTTTTATGATCATATTTAGTTCCCGTAGATACTGTCTTTCTTCTGCAATTTCAGTTCTGACAAGGTCATAGTAGTTTAATTCACCTGAAGAACTAGGTTCATCTTCACAGAGAGAAATCAAACCTATGTCATCTTGATCAAACATGTCCATCAAAACCTAAGAAATATAAATAAGGAATGTACAAAGTTATTTTACTTAATTTTATCAAACTGTCTCAGAGTACTTCAAATTAAGACATTAAATAGTAAGAACCATGTATACTAAAGGCAAATTTGTATCATAAAATTTAGAAAAAGAAAAACGAAAGGTAAAGGTGAAAAATATTAAAATGAGACTGGATATGGCAAAATAGGTATTTCTGGAAGTAAGATAAACCCAATGGCAAAATATACAAATGTATGTATATTTTTACACATGTGTAACTAAATACATACACATACAAACACATATATAATAGCAAAAAAGAGTATGTCTTTGGAAAATAGCAATCTAAGACAAAAACTAAGTTCAGTTACTTTCTTGACTGTAATTACGGACAAATTATTTATTGTTTTGGAAGTCAGGTTCCTTATATGTAAAATGTAACTAATGGAAGAATTTAATGAGGTAACGTACACAAAATGTGCACTACTGTGTCTAGCAAACAGTAGGTATCCAACACAGTAGTCCCTTGCTGTGTTATTAGCAAGGTAGTATATACTTGGGTAGAGTTGGTGAAGGCAGATGACAGTGTGAAGCTTTTCTAGTAATACATAATCAGCCCTCTGTATCTGTGGGTTCCACATTTGTGGACTCAACCAATCTTGGATCAGAAATAGTTTTAAAATAAAACTGCATCTGTGCTAAACAGGTAAAGTTTTTTCTTGTCATTATTTCCTAAACAATACAGCATAACAACTATTTACACAGCATTTACATTGAAGTAGGTTTTGTAATCTAGGATGATTACTATAGGAGGATGGTATAGGGTGTATGCAAATTCTATGCCATTTTACATAAGGGATGTCAGCATCGGTTTTCATATCCACCAGGTGTCCTGCTACTGATTCCCTATAGTACTGAGGTATGACTATATTTACTGCATCCATATCTGCTATTAAGTTCATGCATGCCTAAACAGTTTCTTTTAGAAACTGTAAAACAAAAACAACAACAAAAAAATGCCACTATGGACTTAAGTTGACCAATAGGCAAGAACTATTTATAAATCAAAAGCAACAGGAATAAGGTGACCACACATTTTAAAGTAATAAAAATTAAAAAAAAAAAACCAAAAAACTAGACCCAGTTAACTAGATATTCAAGACTAACTAAATAGTACTTTGAGAGTTCAAGAAAAAAGAAAGGAAAAAAAAGAGGGGTAAAAGGGCAAGGAAGTGCAGTGGAGAAGGGTTACATTGACTGAAGCACAATGTATGTACAGGTATAATACCAAAGCAAAAATCCCGAACAGACACCTAAACAACAAAGGACAAGAATGAAAAACAGGTCGCACTAAGGAGAGGTCACTAATGGGAAGAGGGAATATAAAAGAAGGAAGTAAAGGTGAATATGGTTGATGTATATCCTATGTAAGAATGACTATAGAATTTTCAAACCTGTAGGACTAAGATAGAAAGGAGAAAAATGGAGTGGATGAACCAATTCAGGATACAATACATACATACACAGAAGTGTCACAATGAAACTCTCTGTAAAGATATCTTAAACAAAAGTGTCTTTTTTCAAAAATGGAGGACAGAAGGCAACTGTCTGGGGGTTGGTACCAGCAGGAGGGGGAAGGATAAAAAGAAAGGGTATAGGAGGATGACTGTGGGGGTAAATAATATGTACTCATGTATGAAAATGGAAAAATGAGACCTGTTGAAATTATTCTAAGAATGGAGAATGATGGAGGGGGTGAATTTAACTATGATATCTTGTCAGCACTTATGTAAATGTCACAATATACCCCCAACACAACATTATAAAATAAATTTAAAAAGAAAGGAAGCGCTAAGGAATGAGAGGAAGTTCTGACAACACTGTATGAGAATGAATCATTCATTCATTTATTCATTCATTGATTTACAAAAACATCAACTAATCACCAGAAATTATACTGATTGCTGGTAAATTATAATAACAAAATAAACACGAACCCCTTCTCTGTAATTTATTAAATCTAACTCAGAAATAATTTTAAAATCTGCTCAGTTTTCTCCATTGCCTCCCATGCTTTAGATTAGACTACTAAATGACCACCATTTTTTACAAGGGTATCTAAGCCTCATAATTTTATCTGTCTGCCACATGTCTTCCTCACCCAATTTATTAAAGTTATGTTTCTAAAAACAAGTTAAAGCTGGGCATAGTAGCTCAAGCCTATAATCCTAGCTACTCAGGAGGCAGAGATCAGGAGGATCACAGTTCAAGTTCAGCAAAAAAAAAAAAGTTCAAGAGACTCCATCTTAATCAATGGCTGGACATGGGAAGCACTATAAGTAGGAGGATCATAGTCCAGGCCTACCTAGGTATAAAGTGAGAGCCTATCGCAAAAAAAAACAAAGCAAAAATGTCTGGGCGCATGGCTGAAATGGCAAATTGCTTGCCTAGTAGGCATAAGGTCCTGAGTTCAACCCCCTGTACCACCAAAAAAAAGAAGAAAAAAGTTCATGCCCTACACAAAAATGATAATAGATTTCATTGTCTTCTGTATAGAAATCTTAATTGTTTTAGGATAAAGGCAATTCACAATTCAACCCCAATCTGCTTTCCTAGCCTCATATCAAACACTCTCAAATCTCTCTATACCTTATTTCCCATTCCATGTAACCCACTCTTTTGTCACTGAACACCAATCACACCCAATTCCCAGCCACTTTGGACTTTGAAGAAACCAACAGGGCTGCACAGGAAATTTACTAATAAATTCTGATTTTAAACAGACATGCAAAATGGAAGGTTTCTCTATCTCACCATAGATCCCTTTTAGAATAATCTTTACTTTCTTTTTTCAAGAAAAGTCTGGAATTTGAATTTCTAGGTGAAATTTTTAGATTTGTAAATAAAAACATATGGCAAATAACTTTAAAATTTAAAAAAAAATCTGAAGACTCTATTCACTAGCAAGGCTACCAAGAGCAAGAGCATTCCCTTAAATGATTTCCAGTTACTATCTAGATAATGACTTGTGCTTATTTCTATCTTAACATCTCTCTGCATCCTAGACAAGTATTACCAAGTTTGATAGATCTCAGAATCAATAACATCACCTACTTGTATGTGGTTGTCACAACGAAAAAACTTGTTAGTACCTTAGACTTAATCCCCAAACTGTTGGCTTTAATTCAGATAGATTTCTTAAGCCTGAATAGTACTCTCTATTCCTAGAATGGCATTTCTTACTTCCCTTTCCTCTCCAACTCTCACATTTATTTATCTGACCAATCCCTACCCATCTTTCCATCATTTAGCACAAATGAAATTTTTGTATAGCTTTTACAGACTTTCCAACTCCTACTAGACTCTCTTACTAGCTTCAGTCCTCCGTTAGCAATTTTCTCTCTTTTCTATAGAAGCACCTAACTTACACTAAAGTTTCTTTTCATATCTGTTTTCTCCCATTCATCAGCAACCTTCTAAGGATTAAAAAATGTTTTCACTTAAGATCCACATAACCTGACACACAGTAAATGCACAAAAAATACTTGTTTAAAGAGAGTATGTGCATGTATATGTTTGCAAACCACTAGACGTGTAAACAAGTCTAATGCACAAATGAGTTAAAGATCATAAAAACTATTAGGACAAGAAAAAGCATTTTGGAGTCATGTTCAAAACAAGAACAATAAAGTAGACCTGGGCTAAGGGTAGTGATGTGTACTATAAGCCCAGTTTATAAGCACAAGTTCAGCCTGGGCAACTTAGTAAGACCCTGTCTCAAAATAAAATAAAAAGGATTGGGGAGATGACTCAGTGGTAGAGTGCTTACTTGGCATGTACTCGGTTCAATCCCCAGCATTGAAAAAGGAATTAAAAAAAATAGAGTCAGTTTTTGAAACAGATGGAGTAATATTACCATGCAAGAAAATACAGTTCTCATTTCCTATTACATTTAGACCTGAAGGATTAAACTTCTTCAGAAGCTCTGTGCCCTCTTATTCCCTCACCTTTTTTAAACAACAATTTCCTTAAGTATGTTCTACTTTACAGTTTAAATACTATTTTCCTTAATAGTGACACATATAATAGAAGCTGAATTCTTTCTTGTGATCATCTAATTATTCTCAGCAATTTTGGGTACAACAAAATACTTTATAACAGGCAAGTATTGCTTTAAATATTTTTTTCTGGCATTGTACTAGAGTTTGAACTCAGTCTCATGCTTGTATGCCCCTACCCCTTTTTACTTTAGTTATTTTTCAGATAGGGTCTCACACTTTCTGCCCAGACTGGTTTTGGACAGGAGTCCTCTCACCTACATCTCCTGAAAAGCCCTTTACACATTGTTGACTCTGACTTAGACAAGAGGTGAAACAATAGCTGATTGAAAGGCCCTAATGAAGAATAGTGGCAACTTAAACCTTGAAGGATGTCTCTAATAATGTATGTTTAAAATCTCATTTCTTATACTGTCTTTTTCAATATTCTTACTAAGTAATCTTTAAAAATTCTCAGATTTGTATACATTACCAAAAGTTAGGCGGGATAATTTAAATGTTTAATGTCAACTTTACATTTTTTTTTCAGTATGATGATTAAACCCAGGGCCTCAAGCTTCCAGATTAAGTACTCTACCACTTGAACTGTGCTCCCAGCCCTTTTGTTTTTACTTTTCAATAAAAGTTTTCAATAACTTTTGCCCAAGGCTGGCCTCAAATTCATGATCCTCCCACCTCTGTAGCTAGGGTTACAGGTGAGTGCCACCATGCCTGTCTCAAAATCAGATTTTTAAAGTATGTTGATATATTAGAATACAGCATCGTAACAGTATGAAATTTTTTAGGGCGATATTTGAGTTCAATCTTACATTTTAAAAATTAAATAGCACGAGTTGAAGAAATCAAAGACATTATAGTACCTCATGTGAAATAATCTTAGTAAGTAACCAGGGACGGGGTGTGGAGGCTCAAGCCTATAATCCTAAATACTTGGGAGGCAGAGACTGGAAGGAT